CCCCCCCCCCCCCCCCCCCCCCCCATGTAAAGGAATCCATGAGAGACTTGGATTTTGGATTCCACCCCATGAAGTCCGGACTCCGGGTGCTGGCCTGCATAACAGATGTTTTATGAGGCAAGCAAGGTGAATGCAGCATTTTGCACAAAATGAGTGCGAAGTATGATATGAGGGGAGGAGAATCGCACTTAGTACTCGTTTCACGCTTCGCGCAAAATGCCGCGTTTGCCTCGCTTGGCTCATAAAGCACCTGTTATGCTAGTCTCCTTTGCCTTTGACTAATAACAGCTGCAAAGGAGACTACTGTTATGCAGGCTATCAGGTATTGGATTCTGGATACCTGGTGAGTTGAACTTGGATTCTGGATTTCAATCATTAGTGGGATTCCGGATTCCCTGAGCTGTAATCAAGATTCCAAACCCTGGATTCCAGATTCCACAAGTTAAAATTTCATTCCCGATTTCTGAATTTGGATGCCCTTACAATGGGCTATTCATAAATGCTTTAACATTAAAATACCTGAGAAAGAAGCATGCCCTGAGGGAAATGACAACCTTCCTTCTCTCAACAGACCAGGATCGCCCGTGCAAACGTCATCTAAGATGTAATTATGACTGCAGTTGATAAACACGGAGGAAGGCGGCTTGCAGATTGACAGAAAATGAGGTCGTAATCTTCCAGCCGTGTATTTACCAACATCTGTAGCAAAAATTGTGATCAAGCCACCAAAAGCAAAAGAAATAAATAATCTGAGCAGTTCAACATGTAGAGGGTTCAATAACAGCGGACCGAATTTGTAATGGTCTTTCTCGAGTCTGGTCTTCTTAGAAGATTTCTCTTGTCTCTGGTGGAAGCATTCAGTTACTAGAATCACAAGATACGCCACAGCAAAGCCCACGGAATACAATACTGAAGAAGGCACTGTGCTTTCTTTGTAAGGCTTATTTATGCTATCATCGTCACAGTAAAATCCACGCTTGTATGGCGTTGCTGCGAGCTTGAACCCAAGACACGTAAATCCAACTGCAGCCAAACACAAAAAGTCAACGAAGAGCCAAACTAAGCTTGGTTGTCGATGTGTGTGTGGGTGGATTTCAGGCAAGGAGTAGTTATTTACCTCTGGCAATTCCAAATCCTGCGAGGTAGAGGATTTTTTTTCGTCGTTATTCGACATAGTAGCACAATATCATAACAGCACAATATTCTCGTCAATATATATTAAAATTTTTACAATTTTTTTGTAATAGTTTTGAATTGTTTTGATATTGGACCAGGTACCGGTGTGTGCTTAGTAACCAGGCTACCAAGCTTAGCGCCCAAGCTTTTGCCTGGCTACCAAGTTATAAGCAAATCGAGTTTTACAGAATTTCGAGCAGTGCTTTGGAGGGCAAAAAGTCATTTTGTTACCAAAATGGCAGGGCATGGATCCCCAAAATTTAACGAACCATGGATGGATGAGCTCGATGGAGAAAACTGTATACAGAGAACTGTAAGTTTTGCCGTGCAAGGGGCGCTAGTAGGTAGGTAACTTTAATTTATGAAAGATGCAATTNGTGTGTGGGTGGATTTCAGGCAAGGAGTAGTTATTTACCTCTGGCAATTCCAAATCCTGCGAGGTAGAGGATTTTTTTTCGTCGTTATTCGACATAGTAGCACAATATCATAACAGCACAATATTCTCGTCAATATATATTAAAATTTTTACAATTTTTTTGTAATAGTTTTGAATTGTTTTGATATTGGACCAGGTACCGGTGTGTGCTTAGTAACCAGGCTACCAAGCTTAGCGCCCAAGCTTTTGCCTGGCTACCAAGTTATAAGCAAATCGAGTTTTACAGAATTTCGAGCAGTGCTTTGGAGGGCAAAAAGTCATTTTGTTACCAAAATGGCAGGGCATGGATCCCCAAAATTTAACGAACCATGGATGGATGAGCTCGATGGAGAAAACTGTATACAGAGAACTGTAAGTTTTGCCGTGCAAGGGGCGCTAGTAGGTAGGTAACTTTAATTTATGAAAGATGCAATTAGTACTGCAAAGGTCAATATAATTAAACTTACTATATATTGATAACGCTTATTACAGCTCCAAAATAATAATTAAATCTCAAACTTATATATGTACAGCTTGCTTAGCGTAACATGTGGAAATTAAAAGGATTTGAATTATTTGATGTTTTTGTTTATATCACAAATGTAACTTCTTAAACATGTGCATGCATGTATGCATGTAGTAAAAACCCTAGAATGCAGAGGTCCACCCAACGCTTAACTGTAACTGACTGGCTTTTTCTTGCCGAATCTCCAATGTAGAGATGCTAGGTCACGGAGCCAGGCATCACTTGATGTGGGAATTATAACAAAACTGAATGCAAGGCTGGCATTATGGCAAAAGGCTGCTTTATTTGAGGCCAATATTTCGGCTAACAAAATTAGCCTTCCTCAGGACCAGAGCTACATGTATGCAGTCATTCACTTTATGGGATGTTCTTTGCTTACGCACCCGAATGGGCCGAAAATTGGAAAACAAAAATTTGCCAGAAAGGCAAGATGTTGGTTCAGCTTGCTAGACTAAAAGAAGAAGAGAGAGAAAGAGAAGCTATTCTAGTCCAAAATCTACTTGTTACTTGTACATCATTTCTTGTCAACATTGTTCATGAACGTTACCTGCGTTTTGAGCAGTTGGGATAAATACACATGTATCAGCCGATAGGTTGTTTTACTAGCCCTTAGCTATTTAACAGGACTATGGCCATACCCTGACTCTTGCACAGACTAAAATCCTCTACAACCTGTTTTTATTTGGTGTGTAAGTGAATAGTAATCAGATCTTCATTGAGAAAACCTTCATTTAGGCCATGTTCACGAGGCATGGGGCAATATTTTGGACCAGCTGAAATATTTTCAATATCTTTGCTCTGTTTACTCAGAAAATTTTTGAACCACCAGACGTCTAAATCTTCCATGTGAACAGAATACCTAGTAAACGCGTGAATTTTAAGCCAGTTCAAAATTTGTCCAGTTTCGTGTAAACATAGCCTAAGAGTGTTTTATGATTTTTATGTGATGTGTCTTCTCAAGGGATTAACATTTTCCCTTGATCTTGAATGGCAGGTGGTTTCTCTGGTGCGGCAGTATCAGCTTTGAAGATTCCAGATCCTAAACCAACACCTCTTATTCTTCAGTCGCTGATTATGATGAAGAACCATTCACTTCTTCTAGGTTTGTAGAAACAGTATTATAATTATTGACAGTTAATTAGCATTTGCAGATAGAGTTTTTACCAAATGACTTAATACAAATGACTGAAAAGACACTGCACAATATGTCACTGCGCTTCAAAATGGTTAAAATGTTCAAAACTTTGCAGTGAAACCACTCGTCCATGGCTCGTGGTTCCACTTGAGTTTTGAACTTTTGAGATTATTTACAGACCATGGAAAATTGTTATCGATTTGTTAAAAGAACAATCTTAGCCCCAAAACAAAAACATTTTTTGTAAGGGTCCAATTCTAACGAGATGTAAAGCTACTTGAACTTTTCTGTCTTTTTCAAGGTGGAGCTGCTGGCCTGTTTGCACTCACAACTTGCACTTCTGCTGCTTTGAGAGAGAAAGATGACCCCGGTAACTGGGCCTTGGGTGGCTTAGCAAGTGGAGCCCTGTTTGGCTTGAGAAGTGAGTACATGCAACATGTGAATAATCTCTTACAGCTACAGTATTACCTTTAGAAATACCAAATCCTTAATTCCTTATTCACAATCTGGTTCTTTGTTGTTATGGAAAGTATTTGTTTGTTTAAACTCCCCCTAATTTGTGTGTAGTGCCCCTGCTGTTATGAACAAAATTGTTCAGCCTTAACTGATAACACTTTCTGAGACCTTGATTATTCTGGATATAATACAAACCAAATCTATCATATTGTCTTATTATGCATTGCTCTGAAGAAAACAATGACAAACAGACCATCACGCGATACTAAGTTTCTATTTCTAAGCTTATAACTAGGGTGACAAATTATTTTGACACAACATCGTCCAGGCATCTAAGGTTTAAAGACTTTTTTCATAAAGTTTTGATTTTTGATCACCTGTACCTGCGTTGGTAGAGTGTTTAGTTCAAACCTCAGTCTTCACTGACTTCAAAAGTGTTTATTGTTTCCTTTTACTTTTAGGGAGCAGTTGGCAGGTTGGATGTGCGATGGCAAGTGCACTCGCTGTGGGTGGAGCAATAGCTAAATACACTGGTGCCTATAAACATCCATTCCGCACTGACAGAGTCTTTCTTTGATGAAATGTGGCGCTCCTTAAAAAAGATGATTCTAAGTGTTTTTAAGCGAAGTTATGAATGTTCATGTAAATACATTTTCATAGAACTTATTCTGTGATATATTTTTTTGTGTCATAAAAAATGTGACAACAAAGTAAACTTAACTAATGAACGTAAAAATCTTCAAGTTGGTGATTTCAGGAATTGTCTTCCAGCTCTTTCAATACAGTATTGAGGGGTAAGCGTTTTACATATGCACCTACATCCCCAATTTTAAAAAATACAGTTGCGTTGAACAGAGAAAAAAGTTCATTAGCGTTTTACAAAGCTGTTATGATAAGGAGTTACGGTGAGAGATACTTCCCAGATAAGCGAAACAAATATGATGATATTATTGTTAATTCTCCAAGTATTGTTTTGAAATTTAGTTCGTGTGAATGGATCTGAAATTGGCTGTTTGGGTGAACTGAATTTTGCAATGACAACTTTAACTTAACTTTATTACATATCACACACTCGGAAAAATACGTGAGAACAACCAAAGCCGCGGGCTTAAATGGCCTAAGGTCAGCAAAAAAACGTGAATAATTTACATTTTGTTTTGGAACTCTTAGTATTTGTCATTTTAAAAGGGAGTCGGACTTACGGTATTTTGTCATCTTTAAAATATACTTTGATGTAAAGAAATAGCTGTTTTGGCAATTCTTCAAGGTCAATGAGAACCATGGAGGTGAACAAATGATCGAAGAAAAAAGCTAGGGCGTTGCTACATGTAACTTGTTTTCAGAATATAAACCTTGAAACTCGAGTTTTGGAAAGAAGAGGACATGATAAAAGGGAACGGTTGTTTCGGTCTTTGGTTTTTAGCTCGGCTGTTTCCACAAGTACAACTGAACTCACTCTTGGTTCCTTGTCGTGACATTTTTTAGCTGAATCATTGAGCAATTAAGCTAGTGCGAGCAACAGATGAATAATTAAACACGGGGCCGGCCAAAATCGATGATCCGAAACCTCACAACCTGCGCTAATGGGCCATAATTACCAGCTAATTATGTTAACAATGTGGTAACTTTTTTCCTTAAAAGTATCAGATACAAAAAGTTTCTAAACTAATACAATGATTTAACGTCTTAGAGAACCATAGCAAAACTACATAGGAAAGGTTACTCATAAAGATGGACACGTTGAGAAGATCGTTTTATTTTTTAACCCAGGAATTGGGGAGAGGGGTATGCTTACAGATATACGTGGATATGGGCGAGTGCCGCTGCGATAAATTGAGTAAACAAGGATTTTTAGGAGATAGAAGAGTGGAGCGTCATTTGCAGGGATAGGAGGGGGGCGGGGAATGAAGAATTTTAAAAGTAGTAATTAGAAATAAACCCTGGAATACCTGGGTTACTAGTCCAGGGCGTTGCTTTCGCGCAGAGGAAAACAGGGCTACCAATTTACAGCTGAATAGGGTCTGGTTTCGAGGAGAGCACCCCCGGCCCGTCTTGCCCCGTCGTAATGAGAAAAATGCCAAATAACATTCCAACTTAGCTGAAAGAACAGTGGGTTAAAACTTATTTTAACTTTCATCATCCTTAACATTTCTCTGTTATCGATGTTCCGTACAAAGTTTGGTTGGAACTGTTTGCTGAGCATTTGCCACTAGTGCGCGCATGGAAACCACAAGGGGCCAGGCTTTTGAGGTAATTTTTGCCAGGAATTTTCTTTTTCGAAAATATCGTTAAGAAGTGTAAACCATGTAATACCCAACAGCGTCAATCCCCCGCACGCTACGTTATATTCTTGTTTTCAACATTTGCTCTTTCCGAAGAAATTTTGGCCCGAAGCTTTAAAGCGAATCTTCAAACCGTTTTTTGATGTAACTAAATGTAAAGCTGCACGTGCTAAAAGCGACTGCTGTGAGACCAACTGTTTACAATTTCTCTTAAGTGAAGACTTGAAAAAGGAAAAAAAAAAACCTCAACAGTCGGAGGGGGCGGGTACCCGCTGACTATAGTGGGTTGCAGGTGTTGACCCTAATTGATCGCAAACTAACATAATTTGTCTATGAGCTCACGCTTCGGATGAATCCTAAAAATTAGCTCGTAACTCCGTTAATCTGGTACTTCACAATTTGAACGATAACTGACACATCGCAACCTTTCCCGCGTTATTATCGTCCTGTCTCTGCCAGCTGTTTAAATTTAAAATATTACTATGGCATCCTTTGTATCCGTGATCGTGGGACTCATTGTCATGGCTTGTGCTTTTGCTGGGCTCATTGTGGCTGCTGATGAGTGTACAAGACACCCTCGAGGTCTATAAGAGATTTATTCACCCCTGCACCGTGCGATAACTATGATATTTGGACCTGGCATCTTAACTCTTGACTATAACGGACCTGACTCTCCACCCACCTGCTCATAGTTGCTCATCTCAAAGCCTTGCTTGATATTAACTGTTGACAAAGTTGCGTGCTGGACTGTCACAACGTCTTATTTACTGCTGCGCGGTGCAACATATGATAAACTTTGACCTTAACGATAAATGACAAAGTCGGTTTGACGAAATGCTATTTAAAAGACGACGCATGCACTGAACAATAATTGTAATATTTTGCGGACCTGTTTTTGAGACAATAGCTCTGGTATCAGTATCCAAACAGACTGTCTTATAACAGTTTATAAATCGCCTAATTTATAACTACTTTAGAGAATTTTGCCATCGAGACAGGCTATTTTCTACTAAGTTCTTCAGCATTTCAGCAACGCATTTGTACATAAGCTGGGGCTTCAAATGTTGGAACTTACTTGCTTTAACTCCGGCCTCAAAAAGCATAACTGTTTGTGTAACGGTCGAGCAAAGAAAAATGTTAGCTGATTTCTTCTTGTAAGTTTTGTTCATAAAGTAATTCCAATTTAGATTGATTTATAATAAATGTCCTGTGTGGTTTGAATCTGCAGAGCTGTAAAATTTACTCTTTTCTATGCGGCCTCCTTCTCAGCCTCTCAGCATCGAGGATCACGTGTTGCCACCCCGCGCGCCACCGTGAGAGGCGCGTGGCCTGGAAAAGAGCACAGGACGAGGATGGATCGACAAGCCCACAAATGTTAAAAACAGTTCTTAAATATTTCCATATCATGTGACGATACTCAAGGGCATATTTTCCTTCTAGGAAATTAACGCACCACAGACGAACCTGAAACACGAGGAAGTCAGAACCACAATAAAATATTTAATATCTCTCCAAAAGTAGTTGGGAGCCTTTCAATGTCTCTCTAATACAGTATTTACTGCGGCGTAGTCAATTAATTCTTTTTAAGGCAACCACTATGAGCCTGGCAGGCGTTTAAAGGGAAAGCTGGAATTAAGATAGGCGCGCGTGGAACGAGGGTAGGTCTCCCTTCTTTCGCCCTCCCTCGCGCGAATCCTTCACGCACTCTCGCGATTTAACCGAATTTGCCTTTTCGTTTTCCCGCCAAACGGCTGCCATGCGGCAGGCTCACTACTTTGTGACTGCGTTGAATGTACGTTCTATAAGTAAAACTAAGTGTTGCGTTACAGTAATAACGAGGCTAAAGTATGCCATCTTTGAAATGTTAAAGCTTGGATTTCATCTTGCCCATGAGCTTTTCAAGTTTCATAGCTAGCATCATATCTCCTTTGATTTTTAATTTTCCTCCCATAAACGCTTGTGTTGGGTTGAGTTCTCCTTTGAACATTTTCACAAAATCTTCCGAGTCTAAATTCATGGTGCAGTTGGCATCTCCTCCAGGAAAGGAACCGCTCCCAACGTTTCCTGAAAAACGCAAAACAAGAAGAAATTGTCGGGATCACAACGAGATGAAGAAGGCCCAAGAAGAAAGGGACTTTGGCTTGGATGTACAGCCACTACCTTAAAAAGCAATCATAACCGACATTTGGAAAATTCAAGCTAACGGAGAGATTTGGAATCACGCTTGCAGCAAACAGCACAATTATTTTTGAGATTCAGATTCAATCTTAGGAAATAAGAAGACGCGGAGATACAAACTCTGCAAATCAATGAAAGTGGCATGAAATTACTGCAAATGGAAAGAACAAGAAACGAGTTAGGTCACGTGGTTAAATTTACATATCCCATCAGCGGCGTGAACGTTCTTCTAAATCTCTCTAATGATCAGAGCCAGAAGCAAGATATACAAGCTTCTGTTAGGGCTTGTAGATACCGTGTACCCAATTTAGAAACCCCTGTATAAAAAACCCGCAACATCCCTATCTTCAGCATCCTTCTCGGCTCGCTGTGTCAAGTCCTTCGAACTAAAACGGGATAGACTGCATATCAAGTGAGTGTTTCCTGGTTTTGGATCGGAGCAAAGAAAGACCGAAGAACGAGATTTTCGGTTTTTTCCGCGCCAAAAATGGAACGAGAGCGAAAAAATGAAAGACTCGCGCCATTTTTCACGCGGTCTTTGACTCTAGTTCCTCGTTCTTTGCTCCGAAACCGCAAGGAAACGCTTGCTACGCAGACTAAAAACGGGACTGCTTAAAGTCTATCCGTAAAAAAGTGCTTTGGATCGAGTTACGTAACCTCAGCTTAGCCCATTCGACTGACCTTATATCTGTCTTCTTTGGATCATTACTATTCTTTGACCGCTGTAACTCGAATAACGCAGAACTCAAAACTGTAGCTTTCAATCTATCCTTACCTGAATTATTTTTGAGGTCTACAAACCACACTCCAGGCTCTTTACCATCCAAATGAAACTCAAAGACCCCGTTCACCGACCGTACAAGTTCTTCATCGCCTAAGCTCTTGATCTTGTCAAATATTTGCGCTACTCCTTCGCCAGAGCTCCCCTGAGAAGTGCTTTGCGTCATCTTTTTTTGAGATTCCAACATTTCTTGTGGATCGTAACCTTCAACGTCCAAGAAGAAGTCCGGCAAAAGTTTACTTCCTGTGAGGAAAAGGAACAAAGTCACTCACATGACGACCTCGCGCTCTTGTGGGTGGCGTGACAGAAAACGGAAACTTTGAAACCGGAAGAAGTTTAGCCTGCAGAAAAAGGTTTTTTTCGGCGTTTTTCAGGCGTTGACCACCTCGCGGTTTTCTTTGCTCGCCTGAAAAACTTAAAAAACGCCTGTTCTACAGGTTAAAAAGGGCTTGCTTGCTAACCGCTGTTCAGGAGGTAATGGTTGCCGGGAAATAGATCCTAAAACTGAAAGCAAGTACCAGCCAGCATACCTTTTAGTACACTTGGAAAAAAATGCAATAGCCTCCCACGAAAACGTTCTTAGGGCTTTGTAACGCATTCCTGCCCCACGTGGGGTAGGAACGCGTGACAAAGAGGACGTCTGCGTGGAGGCTAAAAGCTAAAGGCTGAAAGTGAAAGTTGCATAGAGGATGAACTGCAATCTTGGAGCGGATGCTCAACAAACCTTGAGCGACGTAAGCAGCGGGCCTGGTGATTTGGTGGAAAGTAATATTGTTTTTGTTCATCGGCCACTGAAAACCACACTTGGGCTCCCTGATAAAATATCTTTGATGTGTTTATAATTAACGTCAGTAGTGACGTTGAACAGCCTTTTCCGACATTCAGTGTAGTATAGCTAAAGCATTGTGATGTTGCGTGACACTCGCAAAAAGCAGGAGATGTCCAAACCGGAAGTTACCATGAAGAATAACATAAATATTACAGTGCACCAAAATGATTTACCTCAAAATTGCCGGAAACTTGGTACAACAGAAAAACACTAAGAGGTACCGTAATATCGGTAATATAAACTACAAAGACAAACTTGCAAAAATTGGGCAAGATTTTAGCCTGCGAACGGCAGACGTTTCTCCTCGCTCATCGCCGCTGAGGGACGTTTCTCCTCGCGAAACGTCCTTCAGCGGCCATGAGCGAGGAGAAACGTCTCCCATTCGCAGGCTAGCAAGATTTTTCCTCATGATGTAATTTATTTTCTCTAAAGTCTGTACCTGGTACACATGAATATTGTTCAAAGTCGGTGACTCCTACATCCTTAAGTACATCCTCATCAATAAGAAACTCCCCAGTCCTTGCTCGGCTATCTCTTGTCAAGATGACATAGGCAGCGTCTGCCATGATCTGATCTGTGCGACACTGTGCTAATGCTTCTTTACCACCCAACATTTCCATTGCAGCAGTAGCAATAGCTGATGAATATTTTACAGGTCAAAATTAAATTCAGGTTAAAAGTACCTAGGTTGATTCTCAATTTCCTTTGTCTCCTAGCTCTTATTATTCATGAATTAGTGTTAAGAGACAAAGGAAATTGAGAATCAACTTAGGTTAAAAAATGTTAACCTGGAAATAATTTCGACCAGTAACAAAATACAATATACAGTATATGGCACAGGAACAATACTCTGACTGGATAAACTCACTGAGGTATAGGCCCAGGGAGGGGGGGGGGGTACTGCCATATATAAGCTATATAGGTATGTGCTGCTGTGAAGGGTATGGTTTTCAAGCAGTTTACTCTAGGATAGGGTATATAAATCAGAGAGTTTGGGTCTAGAAACGGGTATCATTTTTCAGGAAACTGATCAGTTGGTTGACGATTTTATCTAGACTACAGATTGTGGTATAAGGTTTTGTTTTGGCAAGACTGTGCCATTGACCTCAGTAGTTTCTGGAAAACAGCTACTCTAGGATAGAGGGGATTTGGGGAGTTTACTCTAGTATAGCGTAGCAAAATTCAGCTGCAGTTGCCAGGGACAACCCACATGGGAGGCTATTGTGTTGCCTGATTAGGCATGGCCAATTACAGGTTCCCTTTAAAATGGAGACTGATAAATTCTTTGGAAACCAAGGTAGACAAAAAATGTATATATAAAAGGCTTTACATACTGCTATTACATGATAAGTACTACATTTTATAAAAAAACTGATGATTAAAATTAAATAATACTATCTCAATTTTCAAGACCTGTTTTGGGCCAGAGAGCATTGACAGAAATTCCAACATCCTTAAATTCTTCAGCCATACCAAGGACACACATAGACATTCCATACTTTGCCATTGTGTAAGCTAAAAACAAGATGAGCAGTCGTAGTGTTAGGTTGAAAAATTTTAAGACTTATTTCCTTAAACTCAAGAGTGATATTAAGTTACATGTAGAGCTAACCAGTGGATTAATCGCTCAGCCTCAGTTTATCTGCAGAAATATGGCAAAATAATTGTTCTCAAGAAAACTGGCGAATGGTCCACAAAAGAACAACAAAGAAGTAATGTCAAATATCATGTTCTTCATACCACTACTGTGGGCAACAAGAGGCAGCTTGCAATCCCAATTTCCGAGTTGCTAAATGTATTATGCATGACTAGCACTATGTAGCCAACGCTCGTTTGGAATTCCACCAAGAACGAATAGAGTAAAAAGACCACATGTCTGATCACCTGCGTTTAGATCTTCTATTTCGTGAAACTTACACTACACACTGCATTAAAGCAAGAGTATTTTAACCTTCAATCTTTCTAGCTGCACTCTCTAGCCTTTAGTTATTACTAAGTAATAAATATTTGGATATCTTTTTTTTTAAATTATCAAATAACACAAACATACCAACATGGCTCTTGAACCAATAGGGTTTCATATTTAATGGTGGGCTTATGTTTAAGATGTGTGGATTCTTTGCAGTCTTCAAATAAGGAAGGCAGGCTTGGGAACTGATAAAGCAAAACCAAACAAGAATATCAAAATTATGAATTGATGTCTACACTTGCAAGACTGCATTCTTTGGGTCTTCTAGATTGTTGACGTCATAACAACCTGAATTAAAATTTAGCATTAACCCTTTTAAGCCCCAATATCCACATACAAATTCTCTAAATTGATCTCTATATATTTCCTTAAAGAATGTGTTGAGAATTTGATAAAAGATCAAAGCATTTTCTCTTAGATGATCATTTTATTAACTCTCATAACCTAATCTCTTGACATTGTATGGATATTGTTAGGAGAAAATTAATGTTGGTCACAATATTGGCACAATATTATTGGGACTTAAAGGGTTAAGGGAACTCACCATAGAAATGTTCCTCTTGCATTGATGCTGTTCATAAGATCATATCTACAAGATAACCCTAAGTTTTAGTACAATGATTGGTCTTATTGGCTAATCAGAGAGTGCTTTCCATTAAACAAAACATGTCTTGAAAATCAGGAATCAAGGTGGTCTGAGTTACTTATTTTTCAGTTGGTCTGACAAGAAAGTACAAAGTATACCAGAGACCTGTTATTGCTTTGAAGTAGATACCATTCCAAGCATATCTGGATTTCAGCTTTAATTTTCAATTTTAATGACCCTAAGATTGTTTGAGCATTTGCTTTAGACTCAGTTACTAGAGTAATCAGGAAATGACCCAGTAAAATCCCTGTTCCTCAAATTCCCACTCTCTCTTTTCAGAGAAGAACAAACACCAAAGATAAGAGAACAGTGTAAACCAAGTCTTGAACTAGTCCAGAGCAGTTTTTGCAGTGGTAGGTGCTTAGTCACATCTGTTGCTAAGATATAATCATTATTTCTTTTTTTTTTTCCGATCACTTTTATTAAGAGAGAAAGAGTAGGCAAACCTTTTCATGGGTGTATCAAGAGTACCAGTCAAGCTTATAGCACTTGCATTGTTGACAAGTATGTCAATTCCACCAAACTTCTTCACAGCATCTTGAACGGCCTTATTTACAGCATCCTCATCACGAATGTCCACTGCACAGGGAAGGCACTTCCCACCGGCTGTTTCAACTGCAAAGAGAGCCAAACAAGAGCAAATACTCTTACAAACTTCCTCTCATAAAACACCTTAAATTCTATAAGATGAACACCTAGAGTTGATCCTCAACATTCTTCTGTTATGAACTTAGGCCTATGTAGCAGGCGCTTGGAAGTAACTGGCACAGAAAAGAATGGGGCCTGTGAGAGAGACATGCAAGGGGAGAAGGAGCCCTTCAGGCAGACGCTCCTTATGGCCTCACTTTGGGAAAGCAGGCATCCTTATCCATTCACTTTTTATACTCCTTTTCCCTTTTAAGCCCAGTTCTCCTTAATCTCCCTCGCAGCCGTTTTTTGATGTCACGCAATGTGGGGGAGCGTTGTTTGACAAGGATTTCGACGCTGCTTCACAGAGGTTACTAGCTGGGGTTAAATTACATCTGCAATGCAGGCTAGTATGACTGCAGCTGAGCTGGGTAATCTCAGGGCTGTCAACTCTCCACGTCTTCAGATATTGAGAATTGATGGGGAAGGGTCAGGGATGATAGATGATGTCATAATGGACAGCACATGACATCATTTGTGAAAAAAAAAAAAAAAAACACGTGGAAAAGATGTTGTTGGAATTGTAACATTTGACCTGATTGGTTTACTTTCCACCAATCACATTATTGCTAACATTACAATGGCATACCGGAGTTTGTGAGGAAACGTTCGATGTTAACAGTAAAATAGCTCAAATAGGGCAAAACATTTGAAATTTCATTGTCGAAAAGTCGAATCTACGAGAAATGGCAAACTTTGGCGATTATCCAGGAGATTTCAGACTCTAATCAGGAGACCGGGAGAAATGGTTCAAAATCTGGAGTCTCCCGGATTATCTGGAAGAGTTGACAGCCCTGTAATCTTCGCTCCCCAGGGGACTGGAGGAGAGGGTAAAGTACACACACAACTTACAGCTCAACAGGAGTCATAATAAAATGTCCCATAAAATACAAAATCTCACGGCAACTTCCTAGAAAGGAATAACAAAAAAATTGCTACTAGCACAGATAAACTTACCTTCTTTTGCTGCAGTATAAATAGTTCCTGGTAGTTTTGGATGTGGCTCTGTTGTTTTAGCAGCGATAACTATATTCGCTCCATCTTGTGCTGCTTTCAAGGCGATTGCCTTCCCAATTCCACGGCTTGCGCCGGTTATAAAGATCGTTTTACCAGCTAGTTTCCTGAAATTAATTTTATAAGGGGTATGAAGCTACAGTGAAATAATGTTTAAGATACTAATATTTGAAATTTTTTTCTAGAGATCTTACCCTGTTTTCAACATTTTTCATCAAGCGCCGGATGAGAGATTTGAGCCCTCGGATATATTGGCCAGCGTTTGGCGACCTTGATTGACCTGACGGTGACGGTGTCGTGACGGTGGTCTTTGCCTTATTTGGTGGCTGGGATTCGGCATTTCAAAACAATATGGAGGCGGAATTCGGAATTTACGGGATTAAGCGAAAATTTGGATCGGGATAATGGAAAGGGGTCCCTCTTTATCAAGAAGAAAGGCATGTGGATTTAGCTCCTGGGATAGCAACATAGGTTGGTTGAGTTCTAGAAAGCAGCCGGGAAATTAGTCTCCACAGACGGTCAATTCTAATGACCGGCCGCCGAAAGTCCCTGAAGGCTTTGCGGAGAAGGTTCGGGGGCAGTGTAACTATGCACACTGAGGACTTTTGTTTTTAGGTTAGAAAACAATGGGACTATTGTTGTCCCGTTCTCATTTATTCAATCAATCTTTGATTACGGTATTTTACACTATATAAGGTATTTACACAAGTGTACGCAAGTAGGAGAACAAAGTAGCTTATAAATAATCATTAAGCTAAAAGACATTAAGTTCATTTCTGTACAGTGTCCAAAGTAGCAACTTTCTCCTCTGACTTTCTCTCTATAAAACTAACTCGAAAAGAAAACGTTTTCTACGAATTCACGCCCATGTAACCAGTGAACAGGCTCTCTGTTAACACCCCTGACAATTCAGTCTCACCAGATTTTGGCATTGGTACTGGTGGTCATCGTTTAGGAGGGAAAAAAAAACTTTTTTAAGACTGTGTAGGTATCGCCTGTTATGTAGGCTAAACTTATCCGCAGCTACCCTTTATAAGGCAGCGTCTTTTGAAGAAGGATGAGCTCTCCTCTATTTCTCTATGTTGGCCTATTCAACTCAACAACTCATGTGGTAACACTACAATTTTGAGCAGCTCTTCAGCAGTACTGTATTTTTTTTAATGTTTGATGAAGATATTTGGTCTTAGGATAAATTAGATTTAAATAATACTTGTTACATCGTAGCTTCGAGGGCTTCACTATGAAACGTCCTTTCACTCGCATGAAACTATTTGTTTTGTATGTAGTCCTAACTTTTGAGTCTGAGGGCAAAATCCTATGACGGTGACCATTCAAATGAATTCTTTTCAGCAGTACTTTCACATAATACTATTTGCTTTGTATGTAAATCCTATTGAATGAAACCTCTTCCGCGGTACTTTCACATGGCCCTTTTGTTTTGTAAACTATGTAGTCCTAACTTTGGAGGTCTGTAAACAAAATCCTATGGTGTGACTATTCAAATGAATCCTTTTTACACTACTTCCACATGGAGCTAACAAAACAATCATTGACATTTCTCTTGAATGTTACTTTTAGCCTCCACAAGGAGTGAGTAACACGGTTGTCCCCTCTTAACGGATATTCGCTATAGTTTTGACTTCATTGTGCCCATAAGTTTCTCAAGTTTCGCGGCCAGCATTTTATCTCCTTTAACTTCCATTTTTCCGCCCATAAACGCCTGTACTGGATTCAGTTGTCCTTGGAACATTTTCACAAAATCCTCTGAGTCTAAAATCATGGTACAGCCGGGATCTCCGTGAAAAGAACCCCTACCAACGTTACCTGCAATATTAGAAAAATAAAGGAAATTACAAATAATTCACGTTTCTGGAAATTTTTCATTTCTAAGTTTCTTAACAAGAGTTCTACATTTGCACTAAGAATTAAACCCAAATACAGTATTTTCTCAACTTTTCAAAAATACACCCGGCTATTTCAAACCGCGGCCCATGTCAGAAATAAAGTAGTGGAGCTTAGGCGTTGTTCAAATTCTAACGGGACGCACGCAAGTTTGGAAAGGGAAAGGAAAAAAAAGTGGTCTGTTGAAGTTCTCACGGGCATCGATTTCGCATTCGGATAACTGTACAGAGGGTGGCAAAAAGGTAACAATAATTCTTATCCACGTGCGCAGTCAATGTTTGGCGCTGTTTAAAACTTTATAGCTTTCATTCCATCTCGTCCTGTTTGTCAAATGCATGTTGGCGAATGTTTCTCGCGTTAAAGCATAAGTACTGTATCAACTGTATCTCAGTTCATTCCCTGCTAGCAGAGGTCTCTCACGACGAGGCAAAAATGAGAGAAAGGAGAGAGAGACCTCTGCTAGCAGGGAACTAAGTTCAGAAAAAGAGGAAAGGAATTTCCTTTCAAGGAAGTACAGTTCAGAAAGAATTATGGATTTATATAGTTTCGCATTTCTCAGCACTCGCGTTATTTCACGTTGTAGTCGTGCAACGACGGCAAGGAAATCTACCAAAAAGCGTGATGCACGTGGATCCACGTGCAAAGTTGTTGTTTTGCCAATCTACGCGTCGCTTTTTTACTGTTCTCGTTGCAGTCCCCGTCGTCGTTGCTCATTAAAAAAGGTTCCTGAAACACCACGAGACTACAAAACTTTCATATACCTGAATTATTCTTGAGGTCCAGATACCACACTCCAGGCTCTTTTCCACTCAAATGGAATTCAAAGATGCCGTTTATACTCTGAACAAGTTCCTCGTTACAAAGACTGTGAACCTTCTCAAAGACTTCTGACACACTTACAATGTGGATATTTGGCGAGGCGTTTTCGGTCTTCAATGCCTCTGAAAAGGTAACAGGAAACCGAACGAAAGAGTTAAGCATGATACACTAGAATGTGGACACAAGCCAGGAAAAAAAGCCATCAATTTTGAGTCAGTGACACTGAGAGGTTCAGCTTCTAGACGAAAGGGTAAGAATTGAATTATCTATTTAAATCCCGAGCCTTTTTCAGGTTCTCTCAGAACTTAAGATAGGGTAAAACGTTTATGTATTGTTTCAAATTTTATATATTCGTTTTACACCTTATACTTTGTCACTTTTCAACTTGATAATGGCGTAACGTAGCGCCGAAACGTCGTTCACTTTTTAAAATGTTTTTTAAATGTATTTTAAAAATCTTTAGCGTTTAACTTTTTGATCAAATCAAAACGGAAAACAAAAACGTTTTGCAACATTGCTGCTGTACGAGAAGAAAAGCGATGTTGCACGTTTTACCACCCGAGAGTCAAACCTGTCTTGCGACAAATCAGATTGCCGCAAGTTGCGAAAAGCTGTTGCAGAAATTAGAGCGTAGTTTCACTCATTGCAACAAAATCTGTACACGTTGCGCGTTTTACCGGCACCAGCTCTCAGTGAGGCAATCTTGTTTTGCAGTCCCTCTGTGGAGTGAATCCCGCGCAATTTTGTTCAGTCAGAAGTCAGTATTCACGCATCATCAACAACCTGATTTGTTGCAAGAAAGGCTAGAACGAGGGCTGTAAAACGCGTATCTTGCATAACAGGCGCTTTGTGAGCCTAACGAGGCGAACGCGGCATTTTGCGCGAAGCGCCTTGCTTGGTTCGATCATAAAGCGCCTGTTATGCAGGCTATAAAACGTGCAACATCACTATGCAACTCGTTTTGCAACAACGTGGCAAAACAAGTTGCGCGTTTTTAGTAAATTTAGAGATAAAATTAAGTTGATTAACAGCTAATTTGAGCTGACAGACCATGAAATAATAGCAAGGAATCTAGGAAAGATTAATTTTCACTCAGTTTAATACAGCCAATTACAATAATCATAAATAGCTTTAGAATGTCATGTCAGATTGTCCTTTTTTAAACTAAATGAGCATTTACCTGGCGAAACCAAATATTGATCGTAGTCTGTAATTCCTTCTTGTTTAAGAACATCCTCATCATAAAGAAACTCTCCAGTCCTTGTTTGACTGTTTTTTGTTAGAAGAGCATATGCAGCGTCAGCCATGATCTGATCAGTTCGGCAAAATTACCTGGCGAAACCAAATATTGATCGTAGTCTGTAATTCCTTCTTGTTTAAGAACATCCTCATCATAAAGAAACTCTCCAGTCCTTGTTTGACTGTTCTTGTTAGAAGAGCATATGCAGCGTCAGCCATGATCTGATCAGTTCGGCAAAATGCAAGTGCCTCTTTACTATACATTACTTCCACAGCAACTGTAGCAATGGCTGTTGAGCAAAAAATTTATCCACCTTATGAAGCAGTAGCCTGAGAAAACAGCTGGAATTTCGAGATACCACCACTGGTTTATCCGCAAATTGACGTCTGGGGAACAAGCGCAGAAATTCCATACTAATGACGTGTCACTTCCAAGATCTGAATAGTGCTTTGAATGGCTAAAAATTTACTTTAACGAAAAAGGAGCACGATCCAGTATCTGGTTAGCAACACATCATTGGCTTGGGATTTCCGCGTTCACTCTTCAGATGTCAATTTGCAGGGAAAAATTTGCAGTTTCTCAGACTTATGATACAGTTGCTATTTCCATAATGTAAATCAGTAATAATTAAAGAATTCACTCTGACTGGAAAATTGCAACAGAGCACAGGCAGCCCAGTTAATCAATTGCACAGATGTATAAAAAACATCCTGTAATCACAGCTGACACAGACTGCCCAGGGATAATGAAATGCAAATTAGAACCCATACCAAGCATGGATAAAAGCTCCATCTCAGTGTTCCGCTTAGTTTTAAGTGAATAAGCTATTTAAACTAACAATATTATCATCTTCCACTTGGCAGACTTCTCACTGGTCCACCAACTTGGTTGCGATTGATATCTTAATTTTTACAGTTCTGTTGATTACATTAACTGTTTGGGCAGGTATGTGTAATACATTAGTGAGGCCCTGCCAGGGTAAATTCTGACAAGCGACACGGCTCAAAAAGTAGCTACAGTGCCTGAAATGAAATCGTGACAAGAGACAACCTTCCTCGGCCAAATTGCGACGGTGACGGCAAAGCCGACAATAGGTGACAGGCATTTATAAACAACAACACGAGACGTTTTAAAATTTAGACGGACGACATGGGACCCCCCCTCCTCCCCCCTGGCAGGAGGGCCTCATTAGTTGTAAGTGGTGTGATTGTAAGTGTTGGTCAACTGGGAGGAAAAACTTGTTTACATCGAGTTCTACGTATATACTGACTCACGTTTTTTAGGCCAAAGACCATTAACTGCAATACCATCATTCTTGAATTCTTGAGACATACCAAGCACACATAGTGTCATGCCAAACTTCGATATAGAATAAGCTGAAAACAACCACAATTTATGGTTTACATCACATCACAGATGACATTGGAAAGCAATAATTTGGAAATGTAAGAGGGAGGGTGTTTAACCCATTTGCTCCCAAAATTCATAATGAGATTTGTCAAACTCCCTAATAACTCAATGTTACATAAAAATTTCATGAAAAATGTACCGTACAATTTGAGAAAAAGCAAAATTTTTCTCTTAAAATACTGACAACAAAGTGCATCAATGTGAAAGTACTGTGGTACACAAATTCTTATTAGGCCTCTTCTGAGTTCCAAAAACTGTCAATTTTACGGTGAGGCTAAGTTCTTGAACCTTTCTTGTGAAAATGAGTTAACTTATTTGCATGAGAATAAAATATCACTTCCATGTAAATGGCTTTGCAATAATATTAGCCTTGCTTTGAAACGGAGGCTTGGGGTAACACAGAAATGGCCTGCTATTCTCATACATTACCTACATTGTCCTTAAACCACTCATGCTTCATGTTAAGTGGTGGAGTAATGTTTAAGATGTGTGGATTCTGTGCTTTTTTAAGGAAAGGAAGGCAGGCTTTGGAACTGTAGACGAAATGTTAAAGGAATCAAATTAAAGGAAGTCAAAATATAATGGCTAAATGTATTTTGATTATACCAAAGTAAGTTACGCAGACAAAAATAATGTACTCTATCAGTAATCTGAATATATTTTTAATGTGTGTATTTTTAATCTCATTTTCTGATGATTTGCAGTTTAAAAACAATGACACAACCTACATGTACATTTAAGCTTTTTAAATTTGTTAAGAGCTTTGATAATTTGTGCAAAATATTACAAACAAAACTTTTAGAGGAAATATCTGTAAGTTTGAATTATATAGTCATATCTACTTGTTCTTATTTATTTTATACACACAAGGCAAATTGAACTCACCACAAAAATGTTCCCCTGGCATTGACACTGTTCATAAGATCATATCTAAAAATAAAAGAACCCATGATGTTTGTAATTATTATGGACCAAAACTCAGCCCTCTTTTGTAACCCTTTCTCCTTCCACAATAATTATACTGATGAGACTTTTATTGCCATGAGTTGCAAAAACTAGATTTAATTTTTGTCAGTTAAATTGTGGTTTGTTCGTTTTTAGCATTATCTGTAAATCAAGTTTGAACTTTCGTTAATAGTTGGGCTTCTTCAGACCACTGAGCCTTTTCAACATCAAAGAGTGACCTTGATTTATCATTCTTTCATAGTCTTTTTCATGAAAAAACTTTACTTTTTTGTTGTTGTGTCCGATGTTCCAGTCAAGCTTATGGCACTTGCATTGTTGACTAGTATATCAATGCCACCAAACTTTTTCACAGCATCTTGAACAGCCTTGGAAATAGCTCCATCATCACGGATGTCCACTGCGCAGGGCAGGCACTTCCCTCCAGCCTCTTCCACTACAAGTAAAATATTCCAATATCTCACACAGTACACCTGGCCAAACCTTCTGTTGGTTTGTTGATGTGTGCAATGTTCCAAGTGGTGTTATTATACCATGCAACAAATACAAAATTTGGTCTATTGCTTCAATCATATAATCGTTCTGAGTATTTACCACTGGTACATGTAACTTTAAAGGTACCAAATCGTTTTTTACCAATCAAAATGTGTCATAAATTGGTGGAAAAAGGCAATCCCAGGAAACAGTACTAAAGAGGACTGTTCTTGGCAGTGAATGTGTGTTATCCCAGTTATTTTGTCTTTATGAATTTTTGTCACTTATCCTAACAGACAGAAAACTCAGAAAAAGAAAACTCTCAAACAATGACATCACAGTAACCATTTTTAACATTTATCTTTGTTGAAGTTTGAGATGTTCAAGTCGAAAAGGTAACCTTCAATACTTTTGGGGACCCTAACAGAACAAGGCATCAAGGAATTATCACGTGTGTAAACAAATAGGTACCTGTAAACAAAATGTGTCACACAAGTAGTCTGGGAAAATAACTTGTTTCACGCAATCATAGTTTTAGTATGACAGCTAGAAGATCGAGAGTAGGTTCGAAATTTGGGCCTGAAATAAGTTAAAGTAAATAAAAATTACCTTCCTTCGCCGCAGTAAAGATAGTTCCTGGTAGTTTTGGATGGGGTTCAGCAGTTTTGGCTGCAATGATAATATTGGCGCCATCTTGCGCCGCTTTCAAGGCGATCGCCTTTCCAATTCCACGGCTTGCACCGGTTATAAACAGAGTTTTCCCGGATAACTGTCTGAAATTAAAAGTTTAGAAGACTGCAGTGATTTCAAATCTCTTAAATGGTAGAAAACTCTATTCGACGGTTCTTTACCCTGTATTTTTCAACATGATGCATCCAGAAGATCGGAAAAAAGCAAAAGTAAACAAAACTCAGAGGTCAGCGTACTTACCAGAAGAGCAGCCTCACTTTCGAAAAAGATTAGCGCCAAAATTTCAAGATGGAGGTTGAACATCGAATTAGAAGGGGTCGTAACAACAACAGGAAAGGAGACCAAAACAATAATAATGAACCGCTTAGAAAGAAACCTAGGAAAGCCCATGAATTAAGAGAACTTGCTCTTCAAGAAATTGCCACTTTAAATAATGAAATTTGCGATCTGGAAGAGGAAATTTTTCACAAGGAATCTGAATGTGCTGGCGAGTATACTCTCGACACTTTGCGAGGGATTGCATCTGAACTTCTAGAAAATGGACAGCCCTCCTCGTTGGAAGAAACTGACAGAAGTGAAATTGAAAAAGAAATCGCTGTACTCAATAATAGAGTTACCTCTCTAGAAAGCTTTACGGGGATAAGATTTGTTGAAAATAACATTTCGGTGCTTTCGAAGACCGACAGTAGAACGATGTTACTTCGTCGAATTTCTGGAACTTGTCTTAGGATTCCATTTAAAGTGGAATTTGAAGTAGAGGAGGATGAACATAGGGGAAGTACCACCACCTCAGAACGAGAAGGTTAGTGTATATAGAGGCTTAATTACATTGTTATGTTTCCATAGCTACTGACTGGGACATTCCAATTTTAACAAATTGCAAAATACCTGGCCCCAGTTCTTCTAAAGGTGGATGACGTTATCCACTGGATAAATTCCTATTCAGTGGATAACGCAATTGGTTTTCCTAACACCTATACCAATAGCGATAGCTGGATAGTGCTATCTGATGTTGGAACAGCCAGCACCCGGCCACATACAATAGGTGATTCTGAGTTTCAAAAACTCTCACTTTCTAAAAGAGGCTAAGTGCAAAACCTTTCTTGTAATAATGGGTCTCATTTGCATGAGAATAAAAATTCCTTTTCACATCAATGGCTTTGCACTTAGCTTCGCTTTAACCCTTTAACCGCAATAGTGACTAACGTCAGTTTTCTCCTAACCATATCCCTACAATGTCAAGAGATTAGGTTATGAGAATCAACAAAATGATCACCTAAGGAAAAATGCCTTGAACGTTTATCAAATTCTCTCAACTCATTCATGAAGGAAATGTATAGAGATCAGTTTGGAGAATTTGTATGTGGATATTGGGGCTTAAAGGGTTAAAAACGAGGCTTGGGGTAACTAAAAAATGGCCTATTGCATATGCATGTCATTGAATAGCATAATTGCTCATTGTGATATGCCTTGCCCTTTACAGCATTTTGATGCATGCAAATGAGGTGGTAAAGAGTGCCTGGCTCACATAAAGGCTCTTTTAACCCATTAAGGCACAGAGCGCGGAGGAGTTATTTGTGACCTTGATTGTTGATTGTAGTTAAATTTTACAGGCAATACCGCGCATCGCCTTTGTTGCTATACTGTAAATTCGAGCAACCGTCATTTGATCATCTTATAAACCTGGTAAAAATTATCCATTGCTCACTGAGCATTAGATAATATTTCACCAGGTGTATAACTTGATCACATCACCGTTTGATAGGTCAAGTTCATAGTTGATTCTACAGTAAACAGAGGCGACTCGTGCGATCGGCTGTAAAATTTTCGCTTCTCTTCCCATAACAAATAATCCTCTGCGCGCTGTGATCAAGGAGATCATAAGTAGAAAACCAATCCCACCTTGTTTCTAAGGGAACATTGTTTTGATGGACCGTATTCCGGAATAAGAATACTTGGAATAAACTCAAAAAATCAATAATTGATTTTCGTTGTACAATAAGATCCACAAACCTGGTGGAAATTAATAAATTTGATGAATGTTGTACTCCAAGGGTCCAAAAATTTGTGACTAAAGAGATTTGTTGGGAATTTCTGCACATTCTAATTCCGGAATATGATCAATCAAATGCACCCTATGGTTGCTGTTATTTTGAAACTCACAAGTTACTTCTTCACAAATGTTAAGTTCCATATTGAGTAAAGATGAGTCAGGGCACAACCAGAGTAATGTCTGATAACCCAAGGTTGGAAGAGCGACCCGTCAGGCTAGCATGTTTTAATATCATGAGATGTCCGACAGGCAAGCAACACTTGTCAAGATAAAGTAAATTTCAGTCACAAAGGGTTTTGTTAGACCTGTGTGACTACACACAAGGCGAGTGAGCCAAGTGGTTGTGTAACTTTCATCTCACCCTGTGAGTAATACAGAATAACCTGGACTGTCATGACAAAACCTGTTACATATAAACTTATGATTGCTATTTCAACCCAAAGATATAAGACCTGATGAAGAAAGCGTTCCAGTTTTAAAAAGACTGTCAGTGGAAGTCACGGACCCTCTTGCTGAGCAAGAACTCGTAAGCTTTATTCAAACGGTAGAAAAAGAAAAGGCACTACAACCATTCTTTATTGGACTCATGCAGTATGCAGATTGGCATAGTAATAGACAAAGGACATGTCAGCATTTTTACACAAAGTATCCAGAGACTGTTCAATTAATTGGCACTCCAGCTGGATGCCAGTCTTTGCAACTGATGAATCGAAACAAGCCTGGACTGATTTTTACTATCTACTGGAGAATTTGCATTACTGAGACTGGCCATGTTACGCCAGATTTACAAATACATGCCTCAGCACCACAAAATCAGACAGACCAAAGAGACAACAACACATTACTCAGAAGCGTTCCTCGGCAGTTTGAAAAGGTTCTGCCTATTCTTGGAATAGAAGAGTCCATCGAGGTGGTGATAGGACTTCTGTGTAGATAGTACACAGACCACGTGTAAGATACTGCTGTCTTATATTTAAATTATTTATGCTCTTTCCCACATGGTGCATCTATTGAACCAAGGATATCATTCAAATTATATTCTTGTATGTGATCTGAAATTTTTGCAATGGGGTATGTGTGTTTGGATGTAGAGATAGGTACCCTGGTCCCAGAGGTTTTTCTTAAAATTTTTCTTTGCAAAAGAGCAAGCTTAAGCAATGAGAACGCTGACATCCCAGACGTCATGAATGGCAATCAGAAATTCGATATCTCGCTGGAGGAATTCGTTGAGTCAGAGCACTGAAAGAGAAAAAATATCAACTCCCGCTTGCCATTTTTGATGTCTGGGACATAAATGTTCACGTTGCTCAAGGTCCCTCTTATCATGATCAAAAGGAGAAGACCCTTTTAGGTTAAAATTCTGACAAGCAGCATGGCCTTGAAACAGTGACATAAGACAAGATGAAATGGTGACAAACAACATGAAGATGGGTTAAATATCAACAGGGACATGGACAACTCCTCAAAATGCGAAAAGACTAATATATTTGAAATTCAGACTATGGACATACATACCCCCCACCCCCAACCCCCCCTAAGAGGCCCTCAAGGATACTGGGTTATATCTTGAAATTAAGAAGACACTTTTGCAACCATGTCCCCCTCCCCATTTACAGTTTAGTGAACTATCTAAGTACTGTGTACTGTGAAAATTTTTTTAGTAAGGGGTATTTTGTGCAAACTAGAAAAATAGTTTATTGACTTACAAATACTTATAACTGGTCCTGTGAGTGTAACGTAAGTTTAAGAAACATTAAACAATTCACTTAATAAGTCCAGTGTAAAAACAAAATTAATCCCAGTTTGTCTGATTGAGCCTACTCCATGACTGTTTACTATGGGCTCCCTGTGCATGAATAGCTATATTAGTTGTCCTGCGCTTGCTCACCAAGGCTGCTGCCTAAGAAAAATTTTAGGGAGCCCTTCGGGCTCCTAAAGTTTAAAGTTAGGAGCCCGAGCCACATTGTTAGGAGCCCAGTTTGAAATCCATGTATTGTTTTTCCAAGATCATTACAT